GTTCGTCAGGCTTGACACCAGGGGGCGCCGGGCCACTGTCTGTGGAGGTTGCACTTATCAGTGTGGATGGAGCAGTATGAGACATTTTGTGGGCTTCCTATAGGTCAGAGCCAATTAGTACATCCGGTTGCAGCGCTTCCGTCTCGTCTGGAGGCAAATCTGCAGAGCACAGGGTTAGAGCCCCTCCCACATGGGAGGCATTTCCAATAGCTTGGACTTTTGTGACTTCCTGTTGCAGATGTAAAAGCTGCATCTGCATGTTTTTAATCTCAGAAAGCTGCATATGCATCTAGGTCTGCGTTTCATTTTTCCACTGGAAAAACTGCATTTGCATTTGGGAAATATGCATTTGTAATTGCATTTGGAGTTGGTTTTGCATTTGCATTTCATTTTTCATCTGGAAAATGGGAAAAGTCAAATTATTATTTTGGTCTGAAGCCATTGTACTGATTAAACAGATCCTTTAATTTGTGATAAAATTAATAGAGCTGAATAGGAAACCCTTGCTTAACTGGATGGATGAAGATGAGCTTTGTTACAGGAGAAATTTGCAGTGTTTTGAAGCACAAGATTAAAAAACAGAACAGAATCATTATGACACAGAGATGTCACTAGATGGCGGCAGAGCTGGACCTCACCAAGATGGCCGTCCGAGAGGTTGCGTGTGTAGACCCAGGCAAGATGGTGGCACGTGTGCGCATGAGCCTTATCCCCAAAATGGGGGTTAGCCAAGATGGTGGAACTTGGACCGTTTTCCTCAGTAAAAGTTCAGAAAACGCTGCCAATTTTGCTTGACCGGTCTCGGAGCTTGTCCCGTAGGAAATAGCGGACTTTGGGGCACAGAATCGCTGTGTCGGTAGATTGACAGCTGTCGGGATAGCGACTCCCTGTGCCACAATCGAGAGCTAGAAGTTAGCAGCTGGGCGTGCTAAGCTAGCGGGTCCTGTTAGCTAAACAGAACTTGGCGTTCTTATTCTGTCGTAGTACTGACCAGTCCGAATAACCAAACGTTTGTGACGTGTTCGTGTTAATTTTTCTTACAAATTAGCGTGTGCGGTTCATGACGCAGCGCCGCTCTTCCATTTAAAAGCTTATAGACGACTGTTAGCACCTCGATGCTAGTCAAGCTCACAGGTTGATTTCTGGTTGATCGGGGGAAGCTTTAAGCTTCTGGGAGAAATTATTTTAACTCCGTTACACAAGAATACACAGTGTTCACGAAACCACTCAGAAAAAGACACATGTATTTACCTTTTAAAATGACAGCAGGAAAAAAACTGTGTTTTTAGCTTTGGCTATAAATCCAATATGGCTTGAGCTGACTTCAGCCTAAGGTGAAATTAGATGAATCAGCACCTCCTGTTGGGGGTGACTAGTGCCACCCCCTCTAGACTTTCAATGGAGGCCTACTGCACTCTAGTGGCTAATAATGATGTTGCCTCTTTTCAACCAGAAACATCCAATTTAAAATACATTTTTAGTGTTTTGATAGTTAAAATGACTCAAAGTCAACACGAAGTGTCAAAATGTACAAATAAATGGGCTGGCACGCCAATTATGTAATGATTAAATGTAATGATATTATTTAATGAACCATAAAATGTGAGATTTCAAAGGAAATACGAAACCAATCTTATGGATCTTTGGATAATTTAAACCAGAAGATTGGAACTGTTCGTTACAGGGATTATGTAACACTTTGTATTAACTCAGAGACAAAAGAAAGAGAGTCTGGTTTAAAAGTTTGAAGATTTATTACTAAAGAAATTAAACCTAGACTAACTTTAAACACTAAACACTGTGTGATGAATGGATCTCGGTGTGAATGAGGCAAGATGGATGGTGTGTGGAATGTTGTTCAGAACCAGCAAATCCGGAGAAACGATTAGTTCTTAGGGGAGTGAAGATGATGTTTCGCTCTAAGCTTTGGTTTGGAGATTTATAACACACATTGAGACGCCATTCTGTCGGTCTACGTACCCTTGGCGGAAGTCCCCGTTAGATCAGGAATGTCGAGGTCCAGCTTGACCTCCTCTGGAACCGAAGCCGGTAGAAAAAGCAGCGGTTGCCGACCAGACCAGTCTTGAGATACTTCCAGGTCACCACAGTTTTATTGGCATCTAGCGAGACCCAAAAAGGGGTCGTGATGGTTCAGCTTTTATTCTGAAAGGAACCGTTGCAGCAGGTGGAACATGCAACAGATTTAATCCAGCTTGTCATTAGGTAATTTCGGCTGAAGAGGAAAGTTACGAATTGGCCACTCCGATAACTTCTCTAGAACGCTTTGAACTGGAGTTAAGATGACGTGGGCATAGTTTTCTAATTTGGATGTTTTGATTTACAGTTGAATCAAAAAAGGACAACAAGAGGGGATTTTCCAAGCTCCAACAATAGACTACTTTTTTGTACAAAGTGCAAACATACACACAAAAGTCAATAATGTAAATTTGGTAATGCAGACATGTCAGTATTTGAACATATAGTGCAATATATCTTAAAATATATTTAAAGGACAGAGTCCAAAATACACTGTGGAGGCTGAATACGGGAATACTGAACAATGAAAAAATGATAGATGAAAAAGGAGGGGAAATTAAAATTGATCGAGCAGAAAATGATAATGGTGAAGTAAAACCCACCATACTCTGAAATTAATGTTCCTCTCATAACCTTTTAATGCATTTTAATCACAAGCAAATTACAGCAAGATAAAGAACACCAATATAAAGAATAAACAAATGAATTGGAAAAATTACAAAAGATAAAAGAAAGAAAAATAGACTAAAATAAACACATTTAAATTATAAACATGAATAGGAAAAATGTTTAACTACACCAACAAGACTTCAGAATCGGAAGGTTTTATTGTCATATATGTGAGAATTACAACATTAGGAAATTTCTGCAGTACTTGGTGCAAGAAAAATGAAAAGTTAAGCAAACTTTTGCATTAGGAAATGAACAGTGAACTGAAAATAACACAGGGAGGCAATCATTGGAGAAGAGGCTACTATATACAAGACAGTGTAGATAATGGTCAGAGCAGATCTGTTCAGGTACAAACTGAACACAGGGTCAGGTGACCGAAACAAAGCAGCTGGAGTGCGCTGTTCTACGATTGACGTTTTGAAGCAGACAAGCATTTCAGATGTCTCTAGTGAGGAGTTGAAAATGCCTGTAGACACTTGGGCTAGTTCTTCAGCACCATGCTTTTTGCCCAGATCACACTGTGTGATTTTTGGTCGTCGCACAAAATTATTCATGTCACACTGTGAGAACTCCAGAAAGGTGGCACACCGTACGACACAAGATTTCGGTGAGGCAGACTGCACGACGTCTCGCTCCAGCAGGACATGCTGCGTCATGAGTGCACCTCCCAAAGCGTACGTCACTAAGCAGACCGCTAAACAAAACAAAGCAGAAAAAATAAAATCACTTAGTTTTAGTGGAAGTTCATGAGCAAACTCCTCAAAGAAGAAGGTTCGATTTCAAAACCCTCGCTTTGGCGTCAGACTCTGGCTGCAGGTCTCCTTCTCTCATCATCCAGCTAAACAGCTGATCTGTCAGCTGGTCATTTATCCTTCTCCTCCTTTATACAAAAGAAACCACTAAACTACAGAGAAGTAACAATCTGTCACAGATCGCTGCAATATCTAAACTTTTGCCGTGAATTTTGTCTGACTGCTACGCAGCTGCGCTCCGTGACGGCTCACACCTGCTGTCACGGAGCGCAGCTTCCTCTGTCCCTCTGCAGCAAAATGCTACTGAACCATCCTTATCGGCTGAATATGTGAGATTTCCACCAACAGCAAAAGGATCTCATGTTTTTCTGATTATTTTTTATGTACGTGAGCTCACATCCTCTCAGCTTTCACAGAATCAAGGTTTTCACAATTTATCTGATGGTCTAAAACTGTAGTTTAATCGTTTTTAGTATAACTCCGGTTTAACTTGGCCTATTAACAGAAATAATTACTGGTGTGTAGTTTATAATCCGCATTTTAAACATAAATTAAATCCAAAGCTCAGAGAGGCGGAGTCTTGCTGCTGCAGCGTCCTAAAGGTGTGATTTCAGTGGTTGATCGCAGAAAGGAATCGTAGGTTTTCAAGTAGTGCTTGAAGACTTTTTGAGGCTGATTTGGTCGTGGGATGGCTCAGAAAGCTGTCGCAGAACCGGTCACACTGTACATTCACAGCATGGTGCACAGATATGCAAATCTGTGCACCTTGACGTTGACCTTTTTTTTTGTCACGATTCTGCTCAGGACGAGGGATTGGGTAAAGACGGCCAAAAATCGCACAGTGTGATCCCGGCATTAGAGTAGCTAGAGATTACACTGTGCAACTTTTTCACTCGTAGCACTCAGCTTCAGCTCAATCTGTATGACTTCCTTGCAGGGCAGATCTCACGAGTCATGTGCTCACACTGCACGACCCAGTTCTCGGATGCGACCTGACTGCTCACACTGTACGTCTGGTAGCAACACGTCGGCCCTAAAAATGTGCTAAAAATAGCAGTTTTTACTCAACACGTCAGACTTTTTTTGTCTTGTCTTGCCTGTTGTCCTTCGGGAGTGCTGCAGGAGGACACACAGGGATTTATGAGGGTTGGATGAGGAAAACGAAATAAAGAAAGTAAATCTGTGTTTTGTGATCAGTTTAATTTGACATGAACACGACAAACACGCTTTCTTGACAATCTTTGTGAGTAAAAAAACGTGTAGAAATAAAAACGAACAACGTGTGTTATTAGGGAAACAGCGGGCGAGCGGCGTTGATGCATGATTGCGCATTCGCCGTGAGCGGTTCTGATACTTTTTGGGTCGCAGCTGCTCGCAGCGCCGCTTCAGCAGTGCGATACCCTCACGAGGGACGAGCAAAATATTAAACACGCCAGAAGTCCGTGCGAGCTCACGATTGCTGATCGGTAGCTGGTCACGTGGTGTTAATCGCCTCTCGTAACCCGCTGTACACTACACGACCGCTCGGTGCAAAACTCGCCCCGATGTCGTGGATTCTCGCACGAGTGGAAAATCGGCTCAAAAAAGTGAAAAAGTCGCACAGTGTACGCCCGGCTTAAGGGCCCGGGGCTTTCCGTGCATTTAGAGTCTTGAACTGCTTCCTTGTATCTGCCTCATGAATGTAAAAGGCTGGGTTGGAGGTGTGTGATGTGGGGTCCTCATGGGGTGGGGTGAGGAGGAGGGTTCTGTGGGCAAGTTCCACAGTGACTACGTTTACATGCAGCCAATATCCGGGTTATGATCGGGTTAAGGTCGGCATTCGGGTTTCTGAGTTGATCAGAATAACCCGTTTACAAGCACAAATAGAAAGAGTTACCCCTTACTTGCATAACCCGATTTAAAGGCGGACGTTGGGGTAGCGTCAGGACGTATGGACTACGTCCAGACGCAATACGCATCATTTCCGGTTCTTCTCGTTCCGGTATCCGTGAAAACAACATGTTTCCCATTTCGGAAGAGATAGCGACCGCGTTTGTTTGCGCTTTAGTTTCCTCGTCACTCCAAAAGTGTGGTGCTGTGCCGCGACTCGCCATGTTGCTCCCAACTTGTTGTTTACTTCCGGTGTTCTGGCGCATACAAGACGTCTCGCTACTCAAAAGACCAAGATTCCTTGCGAACAGAGCATGTGCAGAACACACGCTTTGATGGGGATATCCCGGTATGCGTTTACACGACCAAACATTTGGGTTAGAAAAGGGTTACCCCAGGTGTAGTGACCGGGTTTTTAAAAACCCGGTTATGAGCATATCTGGGTTTCTGGCGGTGTTTACAAGGACATGCGGAACTGGGTTATTGTGAATATTCGGGTTTTAAAAGGGTTACTGGCTGCATGTAAATGCACTGAGTGATGGTGATAGTTCAGGAGTGGGGGGATGGATGACCTCAGTGACTCTATTGTTGGAAGTGTGAGACCTGCTTGGTGGCTCATTGAAACGACAATAAAAGTTGCTTAAACTGTTGGCCAGGAGCAGATTATCAGTGGAGGTGGGGATTTGGCTTTGTAGCTGGAGATTTTCCAGAAGCCATTCCACACAGAGGCCAGTCGTTCTCAGATATCTGCTGCTGTATGTTGTCATAGTGCTGTTGCTTAGCTATCACCACTTCACTGCTGAACCTGTACTCAACTTCTCTGTAGAAGTCCTTGTCCTCACTTTTAAAAGCTTCTCTCTTTTCTAACCACTGCTGTTTGAGTTTTGGGGTAAATCAAGCTTTGTCATTGTTGTGCATGATATGCTTTGTGCACGTGTAGTCACAAGTTCACTTCTTTTTATCTGCTCACGTGTTCGCTGCAGACAAGAGACCCTCCATGAGCTTCTGCTGGTGGCTGGCTCCTCCTGAGCTGGATGTTCTTTAGACTCCCTCTCTGTCAGCTCCCAGAAGAACTGCATCATAGTATCAAACCGTTCATCTCTCTGCCTCCTGTTCAGCCTCTGACCCGAGCATCTCCTGCTCAGTAGCCAGAAGTATGTCACCTTTTTTTCTCCTTCCTGGAGAAAAACATGGAGGGTGGAGATAGAATTAACACACAAGTGTCATATAATACACTAAAATCTAATTCTGTGGAGTGAGATGTGTGTACCAGGTCTGGGGTGGCAGGGCTGCTGGTAGGTGGTAGGTTGTAGGTGCAGTGTAGATGCTGAAGTATCAAATATTTTAGAATTAAACCATCTTGATGACCACAGAGATTACACATTTACATATATAAATGTACACCTCCACTGGCACCCCACAAGGCTGCGTGTTGTCTCCTCTACTCTTCATTCTCTATACAGATGACTGTAGATCCATCCAGCCTGACAGTTATATGGGAAAATACGCTGATGGCACTGTGCTCCTGTCTCTTCTGTCAGGCCCTACTGTTTACCACGGGCAGGTCCTGCAGGAGTTTGTGGATTGGTGTGACACTGCACGCCTGGAGCTGAATGTGACCAAAACTAAGGAGATGGTGGTGTCCTTCTCAAACAGACAGAGAGCGCTGGTTACCGCTGCCTCCACTATCATTCATGGACAGCCAGTGGAGCTGGTTGAAGAGTATAAATATCTAGGGACCACCTTTGATCAACTCCTGAAATTCGCTTCCAACACTGAGGATATCCTCAGAAAGTGCCAGCAACAACTCTACCTCCTGAGGAAGTTGAATTCATTTGGAGTCAGGAAGGACATTTTACTGACTTTCTATTATTCTTGTATAGAGAGTGTTATCACTTTTTCCATCCCCTGCTGGTTTTATTCTGTCAGCCTGCAGTAAAGAAACCATCTACAAAGCACCGTCAAGGTGTGCTCTCGGATCATTGGACTACCACTGCAAAACTTAACTTCTCAATGTGACCAGCATACAGGAAGTTTAGCACAGAAAATCATTGAAGACCCATCACACCCTCTTCATACTGTTTTCGAGTGGCTGCCCTCCAAATGCCGACTTCGGTGCCCATGCTGTAAAACACAGAGGAGGAGAAGCTCCTTTGTTCCCAGAGCTGTGCTTTTTCTTAACTCTCAGTGCAGATAGGGGGCGTGTGCATTACTTGTATGTGTGCGTGCATGTAGTTACATGTATGCGTGTGTGTGTGTGTGTGTGTGTGTGTGTGTGTGTGTGTGTGTGTGTGTGTGTGTGTGTGTGTGTGTGTGTGTGTGAGCCAAAGGTTTACTCATTGTTGGTCAATCACATGTGAGGTTATGACATGAATGCATATATAAGTTTTATGGGTTTTACGAATGTGTAAATTGGTTGGGTCTTTAGAATTTAGAGATTTTAGTGCCGGCTGCTTCACAATGCTGTCTCAAATTGCCCCTCGGGGACTATTAAAGTTGTCTTGAGTCTTGAATAAGACAGTTGTGTACCTGGTGTAGGGGGCAGAGGCTGCCAGCAGCTGGCTGGAAGAAGCTGATGTTTCTGCAGATGCTGGCTCTGGTGTAGCAGCTGGATGGATAAACATTTCAGAATAAAACAAGTTAATAAAATACCTTCATCAGTAACACACAGTGTCAGGATAAGTTATAAACCACACATATTAATCAAACAAGCCCACAATAATAACGTACTACAGCTGATAGCAACTCTGTGCTGCTTATATCAGAACATTCATACACACAATATATTAAATACATTCAATGGCCTGTGTGTGTGTTTGCTTTGTTTGTGTTTGCGTACTTTGATCACACATGCAAACATCAAAGAATAAAGGGGAAACTCACTGAAAAGAAAGCTAAAATGACTGCATATTAATTTGATACAAACATATGCTCGCTATAAGTGGCTTTTGCTCGGAGATTTAATCCCAAAGTGGAAAATTTTCTTTTGCTAACTTCCGTTTATATACATACATATATACATACATATATATATATATATATATATACATATATATATATATATACATACATATATACATACATATATATATATATATATATATATATATATATATACATACATATATACATACATATATATATATATATATATATATATATATATATATATATATAGGAGCTACAAAATATTCCTTCACTAATAATATATAGTGATGAAACATTTGTAAATGTATAAAGACAGTTTTCTTTACCTGTTCAACTTTGGAAAGGTGTGCTGGCAGCAGCAGAAGTATCCGGGATGCAATCCAGTCCGTCTCTTAAATCAACAAACATGAACCGAAACAGAAAATATGCAGAAATCTAGCAAGGTGTGTAGCTTATGAGTTCACCAAACACTGATGTTAGTTCCACAGGAACCATGGAAAGACCCCGACTCAGAGTAGTCACTAAACTGGTTCTAGGGACCAAGGAGAAAGGTTGCTAGTTCCTATCCGAAAAAACAGGCTGGTTCCTGAAAAGGTAATAGGAGCTACAAAATATTCCTACATTAAGAATGAGCCTAATGTCATTTCATTAAGATGTTGTCGTTGTGCATTTCTTAACAAAATTTGGTCTTAAATCAACTTTGAAAACTTTAGTAAAAACTTTTCAAATGACCCATTCCACTGGAAATCCTACACTCAGGCAGACAGGTACAGCTCTGTAAAGACGTAAGTCACACAGGTGAGGAGAAACATCAAGCAATAAGAGAAGACATGGTTACCTGTTTTCATCTCTGTACCATTCAAACTCGGGTGTGGGCATGGCCACAGCCTCACATTGCAACATCCCCATGCGGCCCACAGGAGTCTCTGAGCTCTGGGTTTTCTTTATTGTTGGAGTGTCTGAAAAAGTACAAACAGCAGTCACTTCCGTAATGTTAGCTCATTTCTGTCATTAACCCTCTGGAGTCAATCCAATTTCCGGCGCACGATAGAGCGCCAGGGCATTACTCCCATTATTATGCAACCAGGAAACCACAAGTGTCATAGTTCCAGCGTGTTTCAACAGTGGGAGCTTTAAACTAAATAACAGTTGTAATTTAACATGTTCATCCAAGCAAAAGTCAGACATTTAGGGGGAATAGTTCATGCCAAGCTAAAGTCACTTTTACGCATTAGATCTGTGGCAGATGCAGAGCAAATTCTTACATACAGAGCTCTCTGTCGGCTCTCGCTGCTACACACTGTAAGCTAGGAGAGTCAAGAAGAAAAAGAAGACCAAGCTCATTCTGTAGGCTGAGATGCGAGCCACATTACCCAATCACAAACTCACTTATAGTTAGTTCCCCCAATCACAAAATCATGCCTTATTAGTTGCTCGGTGCAGGCAGGGAAGACTTTCTGCTTCAGGGAGTTTGCTCATTGCTGCCTCCATGTGGACAAAGTCAGAAAGGACACCCACTGGATTTGGAAACCCTCTGATGTTCCCCTGTGTTACTTTGAGGCTTGGCACACATAAACGGTAGCTTCTGGTCATGACAACGTCTTTGTACAAATATGTATACAATGTCAATGATGTAGAACCAGAGTTACAAGCTGCAGAGACCTTTTTTTTCTGCACAGAGACCCAGGGGTTTACCTCTGACCTTTCTGAACGGGCTGTCATACCTTTCAAAGAGAAAGAAAGAAAGAAAGAAAGAAAGAAAGAAAGAAAGAAAGAAAGAAAGAAAGAAAGAAAGAAAGAAAGAAAGAAAGAAAGAAAGAAAGAAAGAAAGAAAGAAAGAAAGAAAGAAAGAAAGAAAGAAAGAAAGAAAGAAAGAAAGAAAGAAAGAAAGAAAGAAAGAAAAATTTTTTATATATAGTATAGGGTGACCATATTTCCATTTCCAAAAAGGAGGACAGGGGATCTGTGTCTATGACGTCACACTATGGCAACGCCACACAAACCACGTTGGGACCCATTTTTTGTAAGAACTAAATTAATATCAGATTCTGCCAATAAAAGGGCTCCAAAACAATTCATATGCAAATATTTAGCATATTTATTGCAAAATCTAATTTTTCTGCTTTAGTGCTGCAACAAGGTTTTATTAATAATAAATTATTATATCTTTTGTTTTACTACAGCATCGGCAAGCTTCCTGTGCACAGATTATCAAGGATGCTTGTTTCAGCTGTGAGATTAGACGATAGGGTCAATGAAAACATAAGTTGTCACACACTCCATGGAAACTCTCAGAGAATCCACAAATAGTGGCTTTCAAATGGTTTAGATACTTTTTGCAAGTTTAGAAAAGAAGCAGATGAGACAGCATGTCTGATAATTTAGTTTCTCATCTGATAACATTAGAACATGTCAGTAATGTCTGAGGGGCTTTAACAAACACTGTATAACTAACACTACTGGAGAGGGTATGAATTACACAGAGGCTTCTGGGGAGCCCAGTTATGGGGGGGGGGGGGGGGGGCATTTTGCCTTGGCCCCCAAAATGTCTTGAAACGGCCCTGGGTGTGTGACTGAGTTTTGAAGGAGATCTGAATTGTATCAGATGTATAAATATTACATGTGTGTAACTTATTGTTTTATACAGGTAAAAATGTGTAGTGGAGATAAATCTACCTACATTTTACTTTGTCTTCTTGTTTTTATTTAACTATTTTCCTGTCCTGTGTCTCTCATCTTCCTGCATCTCCTCTAAACTGTCCAGAAAAACTGGATTCTTACTTTTGCACCTCATCAGTTACTTCTGAGCAGATCAAAGGGATCTCCTGACCACAAAGCGGAGAGCGCGTTTCGATGATGCGTCAGTGAGGTGAAATCTCCGCAGCACAGGTGATGAGCTCCGCAGTAGCAGAGCACTTCAGGCACAAAGAAGACAGATAGTAGAGAACATGAACGGACATGAACGATTGTGGGTTAATAGTAGTTTTTTTGGTTGTGCCACTTTGAGAATGGACCGTGCGCTGGACGCAGCTGCCTGGAGCGCACCAACGATCAGAGCTCTGCCGCTCTCTGTGCTCTGCTCAAAAGAACCCCGGTACGCTGAGTCCATATAAATGATGTCATATAGGTAGAAATGTTTTTTTCTGGCTCTCCCTGTATGTGTTGGATATCCAGCTCTCCAATAATTCGATCCCTGCTCCTGGATGAAAAAAACGGACATTTTCATTAATACAAGAACCCCCCACGACACCTCGGACAGAGAGTGAAAAGTGGACATGAAAATAGAAAAAATGCTGGAAGTGCTGCAGGGCTGTAAGAAATGTTTATCTGGTGCTCTCACTGGTGCTCTTCAGCCAAGGGATCCACATGAATGTTGGGCAAAAGGAGATCTGAGGCACACAGGAGATGCAAAATGAAAAAGCCTTTATTGGTGCATGGCTTAAATAGGTAAAAACATAAGCGCAGACGCGTTTCAGCCCACTGGGCCTTCGTCAGGGCTCAAAATGTTTGCAGGTCCTCTCACTTCCATGTTAAGAAGGCCAATCAGTGACACCTGCTGAAGCTGGGCAGGTAGACAGCATCGTGATTGGATGACCAATATCGCACAAAAAACACTCTTTTGCATTCTAAACAATCCTATTGTAAGGAGAAATACTTACAAATGTTAAAGGGACTTTACAGAGTTTTGAATTTTTATGCTCGCAATTGCCCCCTCAGGCCAAAAGCATAACAGCAGCTTCAATAGTAGGCTCGTGCACGAGGCGCGCATGCTGTACGTGCACACTCCTTAACGAAAATAACAGCTGAGACTGTCCTGTGTGTGTGTGTGTGTGTGTGGCCCGGAGGACAGGAGAACGTGCAGCTAATTAATTAAATAATTTGGTTCTGTACCTTTCTCTTCAGCACAGCCGACAAAGGTTTATGATGGGTCAGTCCTCCTGCATGCTCAGATCATTCCCTTCCCTTGCTTGAAAAATTGTTCCAAAATGAAAGTTGAACCCACATCTTTTTTATCTGTGAATTCAAAGACCCTTTTATTTAAAGCTGCTTTTACCTAAATCTTTTATTTTCTTATTTTTAACAAAAATGTTTAATATTTTATCTGTTTATGAAATTTTATAATTTAATTTTTTTCTGCTTTTTCTGTTTTGACATTATGATTTTATAACTTTGATATATTTTGTTTTGATCTATGTGAAGCACTTTGTGATTCTATGTCTGTGATGAGTGCTGCATAAATAAAACTTACTTACTACAATCTTTATCTTTCCAGTTTAGAGATGAATGTTGGCTCATCAGGTTGATAAGCTTCAAAGCACAGAGACTAATGTTAAACGTCACAACATCATATTTTATTTCCAAACAAGGAAGTTCCTAAACAAAAAGTGTGAATGAATAAACTAAGTTATTCAATTCAATTCAATTCAAATTCAATTCAAAACTACTTTATTAATCCCAAAGGGAAGTTAGAGTTTCAGTACACACAATTCTGAGATCAGACATACAGTGGTGTGAAAAACGATTTGCCCCCTTCCTGATTTCTTATTCTTTTGCATGTTTGTCACACAAAGTGTTTCTGATCATCAAACACATTTAACCATTAAGTCAAAGATAACACAAGTAAACACAAAATGCAGTTTTGAAATGATGGTTTTTATTATTTAGGGAGAGAACTAAATCCAAACCTACATTGCCCTGTGTGAAAAAGTAATTGCCCCCTGAACCTAATAACTAGTTGGGCCCCCCTTAGCAGCAATAACTGCAATCAAGCGTTTGCGATAACTTGCTACGAGTCTTTTACAGCGCTCTGGAGGAATTTTGGCCCACTCATCTTTGCAGAATTGTTGTAAATCAGCTTTATTTGAGGGTTTTCTAACATGAACTACCTTTTTAAGGTCATGCCATAGGATCTCAATAGGATTCAGGTCAGGACTTTGACTAGGCCACTCCAAAGTCTTCATTTTGTTGTTCTTCAGCCATTCAGAGGTGGGTTTGCTGGTGTGTTTTGGGTCGTTGTCCTGCTGCAGCAACCAAGATCGCTTCAGCTTTAGTTGACGAACAGATGGCCGGACATTCTCCTTCAGGATGTTTTGGTAGACAGTAGAATTCATGGTTCCATTTATCACAGCAAGCCTTCCAGTTCCTGAAGCAGCACAACAACCCCAGACCATCACACTACCACCACCATATTTTACTGTTGGTATGATGTTCTTTGTCTGAAATGCTGTCTTACTTCTACGCCAGATGTAACGGGACATTTGCCTTCCAAAATGTTCAACTTTTGTCTCATCAGTCCACAAGGTATTTTCCCAAAAGTCTTGGCAATCATTGAGATGTTTCTTAGCAAAACTGAGACGAGCCCTGTTGTTCTTTTTGCTTAACAGTGGATTGCATCTTGGAAATCTGCAATGCAGGCCATTTTTGCCCGGTCTCTTTCTGATGGTGGAGTCGTGAACACTGACTTTAACTGAGGCAAAGTGAGGCCTGCAGTTCTTTAGAAGTTGTCCTGGGGTCTTTTGTGACCTCTTGGATGAGTTGTCTCTGCGCTCTTGGGGTAATTTTGGTCGGCCGCCCACTCCTGGGAAGGTTCACCACTGTTCCATGTTGTTGCCATTTGTGGATAATGGCTCTCACTGTGGTTCGCTGGAGTCCCAAAGCTTTAGAAATTGCTTTATAACCTTTACCAGACTGATAGATCTCAATTACTTTTGTTCTCATTTGTTCTTGAATTTCTTTGGATCTTGGCATGATGTCTAGCTTTTGAGGTGCTTTTGGTTTACTTGTCTGTGTCAGGCAGCTCATATTTAAGTGATTTCTTGATTGAAACAGGTGTGGCAGTAATCAGGCCTGGGGGTGGCTACAGAAATTGAACTCAGATGTGAAACACCACAGTTGGGTTATTTTTTAGCAAGGGGGGCAATTACTTTTTCACACAGGGCAATGCAGGTTTGGATTTTGT